AGAGGTTAAGTGCTTGCACAAGACGCGTGTTTCCAACAGGGTCAGAAATTAACTCTTCTATTAAGGGACAATATTTCCCCCCTTAGAATTGATTTCCTGGGACATTTTTACCTTTATGAGGGCAATTTTTATAATGACCTTATTTTTATTTTTAAATATGTTTATTTGCATTTGTTTTAATACAGAACAATACATACAAAAATAAAAGAAAATAAAAAATAAAAAATATATACATAAATAAAAGAAAACACATACCCAAGTAAGAGAACCTTATAAGAACAACAAAATCCCCCCCCCATCCAAAAGGGGAAAAAAACAACAACAAAAAAAACAACATCTCAACTATACCTTTCCATACACCACCATTCACAGCCATCCATGTTACAATTTAACTGTTACCTTTGAATTATTAGTTATTTTGATAAAGAAATCACATTATGTAGTGAAGATACCCAATACAAAAGAGAGGAGTACAAGCAATTGAACAGGTGTACCTAATAAAGTGGCCGGTGAGTGTATATCATATAATGACCTTATTAAATGTATCTGTTCTTTTGTTACATTCTTAAATATAACCAGTTGCTTCAATCAACTAGAATACTAGACTGTTTCCAATCAAATTTTATCAACATCAACAGCCATCTTTACACTGCAAAGTTGGAACAGAAGCTGCATCTGACATGGCATCTATGTTTATTCAGGGGCCATTCACACAAAATGCATTTATGCATTTAAAAAAGCGAGATGTAGGTCAGTGGAACAAAAAAATGCAAGGTCTAGAGTAGTGTTAATTGAAAGTTGAACTACTTTTAACTTGAGTGCCACGATTTTAGAATGTTGTGTCATGCACGAGTAGCTGCAAAGGACGCGAGATGTGAGCACAATGGTCGAACACATCTGTCTACATAAAAAAAAAAAAAACAATACAATGGAAAAGCAGTGCAGTGGAATGCAAATGGCCCCTTACACAGACTGTTGCTGCTCTAAGGTGGTATAAATGTATTGCATAATTTGATTGAGCCTACATAAAGTGTAGATAAAATAAAATAACAGGAACTCATTAAAGGGTAGGACTGCAATACTATGACAAAAGTCATTATTGGCTATTATTACTCTTGATATTGTAATAATGATTATTTTGTTTTGTGTTTGGGAAAACGGCATGTTATATTCTGGCTACACAGACAAGTTAAGAACCATATATGAAGTGGTTTATTGCTTTTTACACATTAGAAAATCAAGAATTATTTTAGTAGCCTGAAAAACAAACAGTTATTCATACTGGAACATATTATATACAAAAAGAAAGCAAATAATCCCATAAAGCGGTCCCTTCAGTAGAGTGAGTTAAGCACTCTCACAAAAACACCTTTTATAATCACTAAAGCTGTCTACACTACAAAATGAATCACTTGCGTCATATCAGGAATGTATTGTTAATGATGAGAGAATTCGTGAGAGTGCAGAATTCATTCAGTGAGAGCGCACTGAAACAAAACTCCTTTTCTGCATTGATAATATAAACTTCTCTAATTGGCCATTGCCTTCATAAGCTTAACAGAAACATGTGTGATTGGTTATAATACTCAATGCTGTAAAATCATGTAAAAAGAAATCTGATGCAACATGAGCAGATCTAAATTTAATGCCGCAATTAACACTTTTCATATTTTCACATTTCACTTTAATGGCGACAGCTGTAATAGATTTAGTTTAAATGTATCTTAAATTTGGGTGATGCCATTTTTGCCTAAATCCCCCTTTAATTCTGACCTATATATGAAAAAACATGCTTTTTTTAATACTTGAATAAAAAGTTGATGCCTGACTTGTTTGCTGCTCTGGTTCCTCGATTGGCTTCCCTGAACAGTGAAAGTGAAGAACAGATTTAACATGTTATTTCTGCCCTCCTTTACCTAACGTATGTTAATTAATGCTATGATTTTTAAAGTGTGCATGAAATGGAAGTTGCGATCGTCTTTTCTTGCCTATTGTGACATATATCGGAGGGAAATGGCTTCCTGAACAATAAAAAACATAGGGTGGGATTTAATTAGGTTAATTGGGAATTGACTGGATCAATGGATCGCTGTCGTTTGCTATTGCTGAATCTCATGCGAGTGACAGGCTGCTGGAGTGGAGAGGGAAGGGTAAGTTTTTTTGATTTTATGTTATATTTTGATTTTAAGGTTATGAGGGCATGTGAATTAAAAACAGACTATGATGTGCACAGGTAAAATTATTATAGATACTGCAATATTTCATTAAGAAAATAAGAATAGTCGATTTTGATTTCAATCAGCTGCATCCACTTACCTAGGCAGCCACCTCTCTAGATTCATGTCCCATTTAGTTCAAATGACCTTCTAAAACAGCCAGCTACAGTTTGCCCTTATAAAACACTTTTATAACATACTGTATACCTTAATTAAAGTGCTGGTAAGAATACAAATGTAGTAAAACTCAGGTGCGACCTTGCCATTTAGGTTAATAAGTAATCAGAAATGTGGGGGGTGGAGTCTCTGCTTAAGACGGCCTAATACATATTTCATGCTGCTTGATCTGGCAAGCTGTAATGTGATTGGCTAGCTTTATGCTAGCTTTGGCTTCTACCAGTCTGTCTCCCTTTATTTATGCCTATTAAATAATCAACACTTATTACTTTTGGTTGGATGGAAATTGTGATTTTAAAGTTTCCACACATTTCCATTCTTTTTTGGGATGTTTTTATAAAGCTGGTCACAGACCAACACTGCTGCATTGTTATATGAGGTTTTTTCTGTTATTTCACTATTATTTCATGTGAACTCTTTCACATAAATCCACTGCGAAATGGGTAAAACATAAGAAACTCTGCTTTTTCATGTTGCATGTCTTTAGGATGGTTCTTGCTATCAAAATAATAATCTATCTTCTGATTCAGTGTGGTTAGAAAATCTGCCAACAGAACAAATGTAAAATAAATGACAATGCATCTGAACAAGACTGAATCTGGATCATAACTCTTACTTCTTCTCTAAAGCACTGACATTCACAATCCCTAGATGGTTAAATATCCTCAAAGCTGACTGTAAGCTGACAGAGACTCATAATACATGATATCAGCGCGCTGCTTTCTGTCTTTAATGTTCATAAAAAAGCAGAACATTTTAGTAATATTACATACTGTAGTTGATAGTACACTGGGTCATTCCTGAGTGAGTCAGAAGTTATTTCATTTGGCTTGGAAAAAAACATAAATGGATGAAAACTGGAAATAGAATAGCGAAACCACTCGAGAAAAAGAAAGGGAATGTAAAAGGCTAGAGGCAGTATTCACCTACATACTTGAATGTGCCTTGAGCTACTTGAGTTGCGGGTTTCAGGTTTTCCTCAGCCTGACATCTGCGCATTCAATTTTGCTAAAAGCTCAGCTCAACAAAGGACAGCAGAATTATATACAACTGATTGTCGGTGTGTGCCAAAAATATTAATAAACAAACAAATAAATCCATAAATAAATATGTTAGACACATAATGTATGTATTTAGTATTCAATACATACATACATAATGTATGTATTGAATACTAAATTGCCAGATTGCTGGGCACTGCTGAGAAATTACATACTTTCCAATTTCAACATGAATAGAAACTGCATATGTGGACCACTCTTCCCAAATTCCTAATTAAAGGTGAAGTCTGTTTGCTATTACATAAATATGACCTTATAAAAGCAAAACACTCATTACATAAAACATACATACTCTGGCCATACTTCTGCCTAATGGACAACAAACATGAGTTGATAATCTGTGATGCTGATGAGGTAATTTTGCCTAAGCAGGACAGAGGAGTCACTAATGAGAAGGATTAGATTAAATATCACATCTCATAGACACAAACTAATAGACACATTAGCATATGCAAAGCCCTCTTAAATTAGAATAATTTTTGTGAATTCTGTCCTTCAAAATATTGGCTGAATAAGTGGACAAAATAAAAACACGCTGGCATATGTTCAGACAGGAGTCAACTAAAATGACTTAACTGAAAAGTTGAACTGGGATTTCTATTTTTCATAAATGCAAGGTCAGGAAAGATGCCACATGATTTGAGTATTAAATGTATTAATCACAATATGTGTTGGCCAAAATAATTTTTTTCATAAAGTTTCACAGTTTCAATTTTGCTAAAAAACCTAGGCTGTTTAATGACAGGTTAACATAGCCCATAAAAGTAAAACACATCCGAAATCAATCATTAGGCTAAGTGTATTAAATCAACTGTATCTTTTTTTTTTTCTTGAGCATGCAGAAATTGACTTACAGCAATAAACTCACCCTGAAAAATATTTTGTGGAATAAACTAGCCCCTGACTCTCTTATAGGCTATTTTTTGCAACATAAATCTGCACATGAAATGCATTCTACACGTCTGTTCTGACTTCAGACTGAATGTTTAAATGGCCTCCTACAAGTCTCATGCAGAGCATTAATTAAAAACAAATAAGAAACAATAATAACTCATATTTTGGAAAGCCAATAGCAATTTATCCTCGATATAAAGCTAATTTTGAAGTATCTTTTTTAAAGTGGGCTGACATGAAACTTGCACTTAAGGTTGCCAAGAACGGCTGAATCTCCCCTAGCTTGCTCATGTCTGCGGACTATTAGTTCTTCCCTATAACACCAAGAGTAGCCTACTTTATTTAATTAGTATGACACCACACATCTGGCCAGCATATTCTGAGACATTCGAATAAATAAACTCAATTTCAAAGTGCTTTTGAAATCCGCGCCGTTTAGCATCTTTAAAAATCATTATGTGGAACTGAGAAATCTATTTACACGTGTTTGAATCGAAGTGAAATTTGTGGTTTCATGATTCTGTTTCTCATTAGATCAAGTGGATTTAATTTGAAACCATCAAGGTCTGAATACATTTCTATCAGCGTTGCGTATGAACATGTTTATCATCGCCAGAAACCAGCAGGTCAGAATTAGTTTGCAAACACTTACCTGTGAAGATGAAAAAGCCCAATTTTAAAAAAGTTTGACGAGTAGCATAATCCATGGCTCCTTAAAGAAGGATCTTGGAGATAAAGTACTGTTAGTCTAATATCTGTCCACTTTTATTCCTGGCGCGGGGGGGAAAAAGCTCAATAACAACAAATACAGCGTCTTTCCGTAACTATCCAATTCCGTCTTACGGCTCCAGCTTCTCTCGCTTCAGAGCTGCTGTGTGATTCATTATGATGCTGATGCTGCAGCCTCTCTCTCTCTCTCTC